AAGTCATTATAATCAGTGATTATGTCCCCACTGGATGCAACAAATGCCTTGTTTGTAATGGGTTTTAATGTTTATGTCTCGTCGCTCCGGCTGGACATGGCATCAACAGTTGTAAGGGGCGTAACATTTCCGTCACACGCTTGAGGTATTCGGCCAATCACAACGCACTGGATAGCTGGCCAATCACAGCACACCTCGCTTTTTCAGACCGATGAGCTTTGTAAAAATCGACGCGTTCCAGAAAGGCGGGGCATAGAGGAGAAACAATAATGTACAGTATGTGGAAAATAATGTGTTTTTTGAAACTTAAACCGCATTTCATTACACCAAATACACAAAAGAATGTTCTTTTTAGCAACATCATATGACCCCTTTAAAAACAGAATCACCCAGAGCTCCCTGTCAAGCTCGTCCACAAGTTCTTTTCACTGCTGCTCCACTGGTTCCTGCCTCTGGCGTCTGGGTCCCAGAGATCTGTGTCATGGATGCATCAGCCGTGCCCACAGAGCTCCCTTTCTCAGCTGCTTTGGGCCCAGAGATGTTGTCAGGGCCGCTCCAGAAATCACTGAAATCTCCAGAAATCACCCCGGAAGATATCTGATGCTGCTGCTCCAGAACCTGCTGAGGTCAGAGAGGACAGAATCAACGGAACCACAGAGGTTACTTATAGTGCACATTTTCAGAGCCACCCTGGTCCCAGAGCTTCTTGGCCTGGCCTGCATGTTCCTGCTGCTGCAAGCCCAGAACCCGCTACCAGGGTTCCCACGCTTCTTGAAAGTACTTGAAAGTACTTGAAAACAAACATAGGTCCTTGAAAGTGCTTGAATTAAATTTGAAAGAAATTTTGTTTATGCGGGGATTAAAGTTTTCCATCGCTACGACGGATTTCTGTCAATTGGAAAAAAAATGAGGGGAAAAGAAACATGTAGCATGAAAATAGGTCCAAATATAGTAACAGCTCAGCCACTTCACATCTCTAAAAGCAAACACAGCTGAGTTTCATTCATTCAATGAAAGTGCGTTTTTGAACGAATCTAGTGAGTCAGTGA